TCACCCTTTTTCTTCTTACCGATGAACATCGCGCACAGTCTCCTTTTCGAATTTGAGATGACCGGTACTTTGATGTTTCTCACATAACAATTCTTTACGCAGCCTCATAAGTGAGTACACATTATTAACTAAATTATTATAAATTTTATATAATTACTTACGATATCCACAAGTCAACTTTATATTTACTTTTTTTATTTTTTTTTATATCTCAGTGTTACCGTTGACCAATTTGTATTAATGATAATTTATGTCTCACCAATAAATCCCAGCACGCGGAATTAGGTATCCCACAATTTTTTTACTGTTTATATTCATTATAATCAACAAACACTGTATTGACTCCGTTCAACCGACACATGTAACCGTTTTTAATTTGTCTCAATTTATGTATTATAGATTTGTATACTGAAGATGATCGGAAATGCCGATCGAAACGTTTAATTTCATTCCTGATTAAAGAAAGGAAAAAAATTTTGTTTGGCAATCAAGATCCTACTGCGGCCTTTGATACTCTTACTCCATAACTGTTTATTATAATTGTCTTAATTTTAAATATATTTTTTTCAAACAACATTTCTCACAATCCATTTCTTAAATCCCATAATTATATTTCATAATTTGCCCTTAAAATGATATACAATAAATTGATATAAATACAAAATCTATGTGGGAAATAAGTAAATGCTATACCTAATCTGTTATTTTTAATATTAATACAAACGCATATTATGTTACAGTAATATTAAATTACATTATTACTAAGTTTTACTACCTTAGAGTATTTTGAGGTGTAGCAGCGCCAAGTTTTTTTTGTATTAAATATTTTTTTATTTAAATTAAATTTAATTTGATACATTTTTATTAATTTGATTAAATTTAAATTCTGTTTGAAATTAGTTTATTGTATATTTTTTTAAATGGGCGTTAGTGTTTGTTTAATGTATATTTCGTAGGAAATATAAAATAATTTAGTTTTGTAGCAATAATATGTACAATTTTTTATTTTTACTTGACGTCATTTTCTGATATCATATTTTTTATAGGTAAAATGTATAACAGATTTTTAATATATTATACGACGATTTTTTTATAAGTTTTTAATATATACGACAGTTTTTTTTTTTTTAAGGTTTAAATATATACGATGGTTCTTTGTATAAGTTTTAAATATATACGACAGCTTTTTTTGAAAGGTTTTTATATACTACAGTTTTTTTCATAGACGTATATAACACTTTTAATAATTGCGTGTACTTGGCGCCCTTTTTTATACCTTTTTTTTTAAAAAGGTAAGTTTTTTATTAGATATTATTCTTTGTTTTTAAGTACATTAAAGGACCCCGCACGAAATAATAGGGTCTTGGACCACTGTGAAATTGGCTGAATCCCTAAGTTTTACTTCTATAAGTGATCATTTAGCTACCTTTGATCCATCGTATCTCAAAAATTGGCCATTTTCAGGTTTCGCGCCCATGGGGACTTTTGTTCAGGAGGTCAAGGACTACAACATATTTCAGTTTCAGCCAATTTTACAATGGTCCAAAACCCTATCATTTCGTGTGGGGTCCTTTACAGGAGGATTTTAAATACATTTTAAATTGAATTAAACAGTGGAATAAAATATAAATTAACATCAATATTTTGTGGAAACACATCACTTATAATCTATATATACATACACTTAATAACGAATTTGATCACTCGTACTACACTGTTTTGGTGATCTAAGCAACCTTGAGTGTGCACCAGTGCAATGTAATGCAAATGGCCTAATTCGCTATTACATTTTTGACACTTCTAAAAAATTATGTTCGTAAGTGCGGCTACCTATACACGTACCGAAAATGAATGCCGGCGATCGGTGCACACGGCTCAGTTACGTTTCTTAAAGGAAAGAAAAGAAAGCGCGACACATAGGTATTAGAGCGAGTGAGACACCGATAGGGATATTGAGCTGTCCTAACTGTTTCGCTCGCACTTCCTTCATTAGATCGTCACATGAGCAAAATAGCTATAAGACACCACTAACTTGACGACTTGTAATGCTTTCTCTCTCGATCGTCCGACTTGCGCTAAGAATGCAAGATGGAAATGTCCCCGACTACTATTCCCCTCTTTGCTCGCTGTGCTCCTCGCTTCAAACGAGGAATCAAATACGTGCTTTGTGTGAATGCGTGTGACGTCTTTATTTTGTTTTCACATACGTATACCGTTGCTGGCAATACATGCCGATACGTGTACATCTGAGATATTGTATGTACATTACTGTTATGTTTGAGTTAGTAACCTTTAATCATTATTGTGGCGGCATACCGTCACACCGCTGCACTGAAGCAGCGTAGTACGTCGCGGCGCCGCTATGCGCCGCAGGCTCTCAGCCGAGTTCTGAGCCTACAGATACACCACCAGGTTGCGCAGGCGGTGTAAGGCTCTCTCGCGATCGAGAATCGATCAACGCCGTATAAAAGAGCGTCGCCGCAAGCTTTTCTTGCTACTTCAGAGCGTAACCAGAGGCTAGTTACCTCGTCGTTTTTCTCACAGTGCCTAGAAAGGCACGCAAACGAAAAACAGAGTCCCAGCTTCGGCCGCACACTTCATCCAAGCGGCCCGCTGACTCACCAGCACCGCCGTCGCCC